CACATAGTAGTAACCAACATCGTTCTGGCGTTCCTAAAAAAACACTGCATTGCTTAGTAGCAAATAATCACGGTAGCGCAATCTGACCATGCTACATTTCACAATTATTATTATTACTTGGTAGTGATTATTAATAAAGTACAAAAAGTAAACTCGTTGAATTGTTCTGAAATGCAAGTAAATTTCAATTTAGTTTCATCGATTCCAGCCGCATGCAAATGAACGACACCTTATAGGTCAAATCGCTAATCAGCCAGTCAAAATACTCGGTGATGCCAACGTGTTCAAATTACCAAAATGGAGGAGATTTGCCGATGTTCCAGCTCGATCTTTTACCTCTGGTTTTGATGGGAAGACGGCATGTTTTTTTTTGAAATCAAAACATTAGTTGTTTTCGATGATAGACTGGCCATTTGAAGACTATTTTTACGATGATAACAGCTCATTGTTGAATCTAAACTTTACCCATTCACGCTAACCACAATAAACGTTGTACTCTTGAATAGGCGTCAATGACTACGATAAAATTCGTAAGATTGTGGGTCAGGAGTGAGTGTTGTTTTGACTTGGGTATTGTGTTTTACATTCCAACAGGACATTTTTGCATGGTTTTATTTTCGCGCTTTTGGACTCGACTTGAAATTTAAACCACACGAATGATTTCTACTTCTACATTTAATTTATTGCAATGGATATCCGAAAGCCCGTAACCTAATGTTATTGACATTGTTTACTGTCTTACATCGTCATGTCCCAGTGTTACCGATGGTTAGACCATGGAGGTGGTTAGACATAGACAAACGATAATGCTGTTTGTAAACCAACAAGCTTTGTAGATTGAATAAACATCTAGGGGATTTACATTTTCGTTTACTCAAACTGTGATTGACAGGAATTTTGCATACATTAGCCATCATTTCAAACTCGTGATTTTCACTGGTCGCGGCACGTTTCGACCGAAAATAACAACATTTATACATCAAAAGCCCAACCAGACGAGTGTAATCGCTAGCGTACATATTCATGCCCCCATGGATATTATTTGGAACCACAGCTTGATCTCCAAACATCGTAAATGGCACATTTTCCTGAGCTCCCGCCACGATGTTAGCTGCTTGGTTCGGATTAGCATACTAATACGGTGGCCATCTTTAAATAATTCCCCTTTAAATAATTGTGTACATATTTCAGTAATAACAGGATAACTTCCAAGTTCAGCTCTAGAAGCAATATTACTTGAACGTCTGTGCACTCCTAATACACTCTTACAGAACTTAATGTGAAGTTGCTCAAATTGTGATCTGTCATTAAAGAGATTATTAACAAATCTTTCTGTATCAATTTGATCATCCTGTTTAGATTTGTAAATCTTGAAGGTAAAAGCACCCCCAAATTTCTGAGCCATACATTAAGAGTGTACTTTTGAAAAGCTGTAAAGCATTACTAATAGAACCTATGGCATTAACATAAAGAACATAATTTGCATATGTCTATATGTACTATTGGTAGTCTGTCATAGCATCCTTAAGACATTGTGTCTAAGCATCCATGGTCTAAGTGACTGACAGCCATTGTTTAGTCATGTTAAACATGCTTGAATTATAACCAACTAATATCTTAGGGAAGTCATGAAATGCGTGTCATTTTGCACGACTACAAATGAGATAGATGGTCACGGAATTTGCATAATAACTAATGAGTTAGGGTTCACCACAATAACAAGTCATAAAATTCACGTAGTATAAATGTATTAAAATAAGTAAGTGGGGTGATATGGAAAAACAAGCAGCCTATCGGCTGAGATAGCTCCGCTGTTAGCAATGCACATTTCAATTAAAAAACTGAAGACATCATTAGAAAATGAACAATATGTATAGTATCAAAGCAATCAGACTTGCAGTTTTTAACAAGAAGTCGAAAATATCATTTTCTACCAAAAATGACAAAAATATTCACCAAAATTAGAGAATTTAAGATATCATCACAAAATGAACAAATCTGAGAAAGGTCTACATGTAGTATCTATATACCGCTATGTAATATCAAAGCAATCGGACTTGCGGTTTTTAACAAGAAGTCGAAAATATCACTTTTTACCAAAAATGACAAAAATATTCACCAAAATTAGAGAATTGAAGATATCATCACGAAATGAACAAATCTGAGAGAGGTCCACATGTAGTACCTATATATGTAGTATCAAAGCAATTGGACTTGCGGTTTTTACTAAGAAGTCGAAAATATCACTTTTTACCAAAAATGACAAAAATATTCACCAAAATTAGAAAATTAAAGATATCATTACAAAATGAACAAGTCTGAGAGAGGTCCACATGTAGTACCTATATATGTAATATCAAAGCAATTGCACTTGCGGTTTTCAACAAGAAGTCGAAAATATCACTTTTTACTAAAAATGACAAAAATATTCACCAAAATTAGAGAATTGAAGATATCATCATGAAATGAACAAATCTGAGAGAGGTCTACCCAAGGTACATATACACCAAGTATCAAAGCATTCAGGCTTGTAGTTTTCAAGAAGAAGTCGAAAAAGTAAAACATTGACACGGACGACGGACGACGACGACGGACAATCACTCATATGATAAGCTCCGCTCGACAAAGTCGACAGCGGAGCTAAAAATAAGTAAAAACAAAAACGAATGCATTCTTAGTAGCAAATGATCACGGGAACGGTCATGCTGCATTTCACACAAGTGAATAACTTACTTGTTTTCTAAGTGTTACAATTGCTGATTATTACTCAGTAGTGATTACAATAACGTACATAAAATAAATTCATTGAATTGTTGTGAACATTCAACTTAGTTTCACCGCAAGCGAATGATTTCGATCACATATAAACGCTCGATCCGATACGATATCCGCCATGTTTGTTCAAACATCTTTAGTGATTTGAAACTGTTATTGACATGATAGGTCAAGTCGCTAATTAACCAATTGAAACGCTGGATGGTGCCAACGTGATTAAATTACCATAGCTCTCACGGAAGAGATTTACCGTTGTTGTAGTGCGATCGTTTGGCTTTGATTTTGATGGGAAAACGGTATGATTTTTTTTTAAATCAAGAAATTAGTTGTTTTCGAAAGATAAGCTGAGCATTGAAGAAGAATTTAACACTTTTGACGATAATAACAGCTCATTGTCGAAACGCAGTTTACCCATTCATGCTACCTACAATAAACCTGTACTCTGGAATCAGCGTCAATGACTACGGAAAACCTAAATTAGACTGAAATATGTGGTGGCTGTTTGGTTTGTGAAAGTTTGGGGTGCGGCTTATATTGCAGGCTTTTTTCTGGGATCAAAACTTGTCAATTTGAACATGAAACAATGTCTCAAGTTAGGGGTGTGGCTTCTATTAAAGCTGCAGCCTCAAATATGATTTTTAGGGTACTGTATTATTCGAAAAGTAAAAAACGCCCTCTATGAATAACTATCATTTTGTAAGCTCTGCTTTGTATGCAAATCAACTTAAATAGTTAGTTGGTGTCCAGTGGAGAGAGAAGTCAACAGTACCGTTGCCTCCTGAGAATCTACATCTTCAAACACTGCAATTTTTGTTTTTGAAGTGCATTTTTAAATTAGTATTATAAAAGCTCTATCATTTTGTTCTAATAGCTGAAACAAATTCCTGTGAATTTTCATTTGTCGAATGAACTGTGTCAAAAACAGAATACATATTTTTGAGCTACAATTTGCTTTTTATGTAATTTTTATGTATTGATTTTGATTTGATTTTAATTTTGGACTAAACAGATTTTCTATTAGCTTCAGATCTTGATTAAATGTTGGCACCCAATTCAAAGGAGTGCTTATATTGATTTTCTGACATCTTGTCAAGATTTTATTGGTAGGTTTGCAAATGTGTATCAGACTGTGCAAAAACTCTCTCCATGAGTTGGTTTTGACACCCAGTCTAGTATTCCTATGGGATTTGGGAGATACATTACCATCGATATTATTACAAGATAAATGATTTGCTTCATTGAACACATACAACAATGCATATTTCCACTGAGATCAGTGACCTTTGAATATGTATCACCAGTGATCAGTCATGTAGAAACAATCAAAATATTTTATCAGATTTCCTCAATTTTTGCATGATATTTTTTGAACAGGACATCTGTTGTTTATACTCAGGGAAGACTTTCTACTGATGAATGAGGTGACCAAGTTTGATAAAGTTTGGAATGGAATTAGTAAAGTTATTGTGCACACTATAACAATTATTAATGACGATGACAACGACGACAACGACAACAACGACAATGCTGAACAGAAATTTTTCCTTTAATATAACTTTGCCTTCCATCTTTGATGGTACGAGCAAGGTAAAAATGGCCGCCAGTCAGCCACTTTAGATTAAATCAATAAATCACTGCATGTGCATTTGTCCCATATAAAGTACTAGACAAATGCAAAGAATGAACAGATTTGGTCGAGAGGGTTTTGAAATATGATGGATGGATAGCACATTATAGGTCCCAGTTTACTTTGTGTTGTTTCCAGTTTAAATTTGTTGAGGAATGAGATATTATTTCTCATTGTCATTGTCAGTGTTTACAGTGGCCATTTTGAACTTTTCAAATGTGACATTGGGCATATCGTCTTGTTATGCACTAACCAAAAATGTGTGTACAACAGGACAACGAATAATAATCAAACTAACACAAACTCATTTGCATATTGTTGTTCTTACCTGGTTGTCTTGTATGAGGAGGTCTTGCAGTTGGTCTAGGAATGGATCCATTACAGCTGGGCATGGGAATGACCTCGTTCTCTATCAATGGAACTGAAAGTATCATTTTAGGCTCACCGCTGGTAGCGGAACCCAACTGCATATTAATAGAGACAATTACATCCAAGTCTTCTTTCACCATCAATACTTGCAAATAAACTTGTAAGTTATTTTCAACCAAACCTGCAGACAAAACAATTGAAGCAATGTACATGAATTAATTTGGAAATCATGTCCTGTAGCAATGAAGCACTTCTATTGAACAGCCAATCACAGTGTTGATAATGTAATTGTCCATCAATTAAAACAGTTTTTTTTTTTTTTTTTACAGATAAAGGACTACATAAAAAAAATTAATAGACTTAACGACAATTTCAGTATAAAAAAACGCCCACCTAAGTTTATTTTGAACACAACTTTGACCAGAAACATTTTTTTAGCCTGACCAAGCAGTTTGTATTTTCCCCATTCCGATTTTGATTGGCATCTTATTTCAATTTTATGGATCCTATACATGAGTCATGTAAGTGCAAAATAATTCAAATAATGAGGCGTATTTCTATCAAATATTAACCAAACTTGCCTGAGATTATACATTGGTTGAGAAAGACTAAGCTTTGGACCACCAGTTCGTTTTTTCATTCACAAATTCACAAAATAGTTCCGTTTTTTATAGTTTGCTTCAGAAGATTGGGACAAAAATAACACTAACATTGATTATACAAATGTAGATTGTGTTACTGTCAGTATAGTACCTATGTAGAAACTTTGAACTGAATTGGACGATGTCTTACAGAGGAAATAGAATGAAGGAAAAACACAGCCAGTCTGGTATTGTTGTTTAAGTATCTTCAATAGAAATATGGCTTGCACCATAACCTAATATGTAAGGTCATCATACAAAGTTTGATAGAAAATGCCCTATTAAACTTTGAATCAGGCCTTATCACCCTGTTCATCTCCAAGAAACAGTTCAGGACATGTTACAGAATGATATTGTGATCAAAACATGCTGTTGTGTTACCTTGCAGTATACTACCTATGTACAAACTTTCAAGTGAATCAGGCCATATCTCAAAAAAAGAAAAAAAAACAAATTGGCCACCAGTCGGCCATTTTGGTCCAAATTTTGAAAAAAATGACATGCATGTGTAACGCAATATACATGATTCAGCTCGGAGAAACAGTTTCTGACACATTACAGACTGTGATTTTAAGACATTAAACAAAATGTCTGCCATTTCGCCAAATTTGATCAAATCTCAAAACAAAACATGGTGTTGTTTTATCTTGAAGTATAGTACACCTATATACAAACTTTTAACTGAATCAGGCCATATTTTATGGAGGAATCAGGGCGAAAACGGAATTAAACAAAATGACCAACAGTTGGCCATCTTGGACCAAATCTCAAAAAAAAAGTTACGTTCACCTATAACATAATATGCATGATCACCATAAAACGTTTTATTGGAATCACCCTGTTCAGCTCCGGGAAACAGTTCTTGACATGTTTAAATATCAGAATTTAGCAAATTTGAGGGACAAAATGGCTGCCAGTCAGCCATATTTAATCAAATCATAAGGAAAATTGGTGTACATATGTAGGTCATTATTCATAGTCTGTATACCAAGTTTGAACGAGATCAATCAAAGGGTGTGCGAGAAATGGCTCCGGACAGACATACAGACGGATGGACGTAACCCAAATTAATAGTCCCCGTTTTCGGACTTCGTCTGAGCGGGGACTAAAAATTACTCAAGTTATTTTGGCCACCAGAAGTGATGACAACAATGACAGACATTGTAGCCATTGTACCTCACCACTTCATTATCATTACAGGCAAGGTAATAAATATTAAATCACTGAACACAATTGAAACCAACAATACTACAAGGCGGTAACCATTACTTAGGAGGAAATACACTCTTACCATCTATTGGTACAACTTCTCCGTGAGTGAACACATGATAGAAATGCATATCTTGACTGTAACTCTCGATAGCAACCACCATCTCTATTGGCTTCTGACAATGATGAAATCCGATATAGAATCTATAGTCCTGGCCCTAGAAGGAAAAAAAATGGCAGATAACAACAGCTGACATACCACTATACCTTGTTTTCACTATCATTAATGACAAGGTAAACCATGATAACACTGATAACTACAACAACAGACATACTTCAACACACCACTGTCTCTAAAGACAGGGTAAAGATGTTAATGCTGATGACAATTCTGGTACACCGAGCATTTCTTTAACGCATCAGGGCTGTATGAGGGACAAGGTATGGGAAATGAACACACAGTGAACACACGATATTGCCAGTAAATAAGTGGGGGGTATTCGCCCTGCAGGTGTGGGGCCCAGTGTTACCGGGGTTACGACTTAAGATTAAGAAGTGCATGATGAGATGGTGTGCATCCAGCCCTTTAAGTTAAACTCAGATTACTATGAAATCAGCCAAATAACACTGGATTAACACACGTTACACATACAATACTTACCATGTATGCAGCAGTACAATTAATTCCAGTACACTGAGCATTTCTATAACACTGGATTAACACATGTTACACATACAATACTTACCATGTATGCAGCAGTACAATTAATTCCAGTACACTGAGCATTTCTATAACACTGGATTAACACATGTTACACATACTATACTTACCATGTATGCAGCAGTACAATTAATTCCAGTACACTGAGCATTTCTATAACACTGGATTAACACACGTTACACATACTATACTTACCATTTATGCAGCAGTACAATTAATTCCAGTACACTAAGCATTTCTATAACACTGGATTAACACACGTTACACATACTATACTTACCATGTATGCAGCAGTACAATTAATTCCAGTACACTGAGCATTTCTATAACACTGGATTAACACAAGGTTACACATACAATACTTACCATGTATGCAGCAGTACAATTAATTCCAGTACACTAAGCATTTCTATAACACTGGATTAACACACGTTACACATACTATACTTACCATGTATGCAGCAGTACAATTAATTCCAGTACACTGAGCATTTCTATAACACTGGATTAACACATGTTACACATACAATACTTACCATGTATGCAGCAGTACAATTAATTCCAGTACACTGAGCATTTCTATAACACTGGATTAACACATGTTACACATACAATACTTACCATGTATGCAGCAGTACAATTAATTCCAGTACACTGAGCATTTCTATAACACTGGATTAACACAC